GGCAGTGCGGAGGAACTCCCGGCTTGTTTGTATCGCCGGACGTACATACACACCGCTGGGCCATCATCCCGCGTTTTCCTTACTACTGCGGTCCCCGCGAACGACTGGCTGGCCTCCCCCCTAACCCGGAAGGGGTGAACGGTACACTGACCGCCGCCGTCCGTCAAATGCCCTGCTTACACATTCAACCGCTGCGCCGAGCGACGCATTGTGAACAGCAGACGAAAATACAACACTCGGGGCGCCCCGGTGGGGGGCGAGCTCACACGATGTTTAGTCTATTTGTTGTGCTTCTCACCGCGCCTACCCAGTTAGTTTTCATGCCTATAATAACAAGGGGGCGCTCAAGGGGGAAATATGGTGTAAATATGTACTGCTAGATACATGGAGAGGGGGGCACAATTGTTCATTAATACTCTCATTCCTGCTGTGTGGTCTCGCGCGGCTCGCGTCCAACGTCCAACGTATGCATACGATACCAAAGATCAAGATAGCAAATACTTCCCCTGGTGGGCGCGCGACCGGCGGCACGACTTTGTTGTTGTTGACTTCACATTAAACCGTATGCCAGTTGCTAAATGCCAAAATCTAGCAAAGACTCTCGGCCCGTGGTCACGAAAGTGCTGGAGCCATCTGAGGATCTAAGGAACACGCACACGTAGCAAGAAAAAGGTGTACAAGAGCCCGAAGAGGTACTACTACACCTATATGTAATCCCTGCAGCACCGTACGCGTGCCCAAAACGACTTTTGTGCCCAAACGACTTTGTGGTGACAAGAAATAAACTACGATATTCGAAGTATATATTTCTGTTTCTATTTTCGCGTGCAACGTACAAGAGACCAATCTTTCTTGTTCTTCGCGCCCTACTGCCGCTTAGACTGCTTTCATGCTGTCGTCGAGTACCCACACGAGGCATTCAACGGGAGGCTCTGCAATGCCAAAGTGTTTACAACTGTGAAGGTCCAGTTCTTGTTGTAAGAGAGGTGGGTTTCGCTGACCCACCACGCTTACTGTTTCCGATCTCGTTGTGTTCACATACCTGGTACTGCAAGATCCAAGAATCGACTAGTCTGGATTGCCGATTACCCGAAACTAAGAAAGCATCGACTCTTCTCCCTTCTTCCCCTCGCTCCTCGACAAGCTTTTGCTTAGACATGGGTTGTAGTGAAGGGGGGGGTCTTTCTGGCGAGCAGGGCTAGACTCACCCTCAAGGGATGACCGAAACCTTCTTGCTGCTGCGCATATCCGCCGCGAGGCATGCGCGTGGTGGTGTAGTTGGGTCGGCACTGATGGGGTCAGGCGAAAAAATGTAGATGCGCGGGCCTCTGGCCGTCGGCGTAGGCAGCGAT